GTAAAAAGAGCCATACCTCCCATCACTAGTAGCCTACTCACCGCTAGGTTAGTCATGTTAGCCTAGTCTGCTAGGTTGGTTTCATCCGGTTAAGGATCCTGCGCATAATCAATCCCAGATAGATCAGACATCACTATTTGCGAAATATCTTCAGTAGTTGATAATTTTATGAATTGCATAAAGGTCATTCCTTGCTGATTTGTACTAAATTAACTAAATGATAAGGATTTAAGGTATTTAAAAAGTTATGATCGAATTGGCTAACAATGGAATTAAATAGTGGTCTAATAAGGCAAATATATTATCTCTGCCAATTACATAAAGAGCATGAAGTCAATACACTGGACACACAACTGTGCACAGCAATCTCGCAAAGTGTCCAAATGGTTAAATAGGCTATACCAACATATGCCCTACATAACAGGCCTAAGGTGTTTGTTTGTGTTGTAACAAATATGCAACATAGAGGAATGCCAGTTATTTTCCCACCTACCTTGAAAACAGTATCAGCTCATAAATCCTGGAAAATATGTCATTCCATGCAGATGAATGGTTCCACTGCCTACGAGGAGCAGGAGGTGCTAAACACTGTCTCTCGAAAAACGTATTCACTGCTGTAGCGCAACTCAACTTCCAGCTTTGATAGTTTAGGAAGGCAGAACTTTTCTGGGGACGAATCGAAACCTGAAATGTGGCGCATAGTTTGTGTTAGAGAAATTTCTATAGGCTAGCCTACTGACCTCAAAGGCGTCCCATGAGAGAAGGCGAGATAAATTGCTGAGAAACCTGCAGATATTTTAAATTCCTTTGGTAAACTGCATGCGTGGTACGCTACATGGTAGGCACGCAATCATTTCCAAAAGTGCGACCCTGCTTCCATCTTGGCTCTACCAGCAGCACAAACAACAACGTCACGTATGTATGGTAATGAGGAAACCTTCAAAAATAAAAGCCCGCATTTCAAAACATTTCATTCAAAATATATTACATTTTAATCAATGGCCCTTTAATTGTGCTTATAACGCAATAAGGAATTTATGAAAACAATGAGAAATATGAATTACAAAAAATAAGAATATGAAAAAATTTTAAAACAAAAAATAGCACTATTGAAATATATAATATTGAGACTGTTATGTTCACAATATTGGGTTGTGGGAAAATATTATTTGTGCTGAGGTAAAAGTGTGGTTGGAAGTAGGGTGGTCGAGTAGGGTCTCTACTAAACCATACAGTGCATTCAGAAAGTATATAAACCCCTTTACTATTTCCACATTTTGTAGTCTTACAGCCTGAATTTAAAATTGATTAAATTGATATTTGTGTCACTGATCTACACACATTACCTCTAATGTCAAAGTGGAATTTTGTTTGTAGAACATGTTCTAAATTAATACAAAAATGTAAAGCTGAAATGTCTTGAGTCAATAAGTATTCAACCCCTTTGTTATGTATGGCAAGCCTAAATAAGTTCAGGAGTAAAAATGTGCTTAAGAAATTGAATAATAAGTTGCATGGACTCATTCCATGTTCAATAATAGTGGTTAACATGATTTTTGAATAACTACCCCATTTCTGTACCCTACACATACAATTATCTGTAAGGTCCCTCAATCGAGTAGTGAATTTCAAGCACAAAGACAAGGGATGTTTTTCAATGCCTTGCAAAGAAGGGCACCGATTGGTAGATGTGAAAAAAAAAAAAAATTCTGCTGAATATCCCTTTGAACATGGTGAAGTTATTAATTAGGCTTTGGATGGTGTATCAATACACCCAGTCACAACAAAAATACAGGCGTCTTTCCTAACTCAGTTGCCGGAAAGGAAGAAAACTGCTTAGAGACTTCACTTCAGATTAAACTCTGTAACTGTTTTAAAGTCACCATTGGCCTCATGGTAAAATCCCTGTAATCACAGCCAAAGGTGCTTCTACAAAGTATTGACTCAGGGGTGTGAATACTTACTGTATGTAAAAGAGATATTTCTGTATTTAATTTTCAATACATTTGCAAAAGTTTCTAAAAACATGTTTTCACTTTGTCATTATTGGGTATTTTATGTAGATGGATGAGAGAGAAATAATATGTAATCAATGTTGAATTCAGGCTGTAGCACAACAACATGTGGAATAAGTCAAGAGGTATGAACACGTTCTGAAGGCACTGTATATGTTTATTTTTTCAGGGGGACTGTGGCCTAAATATCCAGCAGCACTTCATACTCCTCTCATTCCATTACACTCAATGCAATATACTGTATATAGGAGCCTGTCATTAAAGACATTAGAGAAGACAGAGCAGATAGTAGACTAGCCTGGCTATCAAGAGGCAGACTATAGACTCTATCCATTCCATTGTCTTGCTCTTCCAAATATACAGAAACTCCTCTTCCCTCCCGTCTATTCTCTCTCCTCTCCTCCCCTTCCTCTCCCCCCTCTTCTCCTCATCTCCTCTCCACATTCCTTTCTTATCTTATCTTCTCCCTCTCATCTCCTCACTTTAGACTCCATCCATCTATTCCATTGTCCTGTTCTTCCAGAAATACAGGAAGTCACCTTGATGATCGGGTGTGGTGCGAGAGAGAGGCATCACCCTCACATATACAGTGTATTGCATTGGGGCCAATGGAATGGGCAGAGTTAAAGACCAGCAATACTCCGCATTCGCTAGTCCCCCATGAAATGACAGATATATATTCTACAGACCCTACTAAGTACTTCCAACCCTACTTTTACCTTGGCACAAATATTTTTTCCCCTTCTCTATGACCCAGTATGTATTTCATAATTAGTGTATTGCATTGGTGGCAATGTGCTGCTGGATGTTTACGACACCATTCCCCTCAAAAACGAAACATATTTGGTTGGTAGAGACCTTACTGAATATTTCCACCCCCTCTTGCTGAGACATGTAGTATGTTTTTTTCTCTACAGCCCAAAGTTAAATCTAGAATCGGCTTCCTATTTTGCAACAAAGCCTCCTTCACTCATGCTGCCAAACATGCCCTCGTAAAACGGACCATCCTACCGATCCTTGACTTCGGCGATGTCATTTACAAAATAGCCTCCAACACTCTACTCAGCAAATTGGATGTAGTCTATCACAGTGCCATCCGTTTTGTCACCAAAGCCCCATGTACTAACCACCATTGTGACCTGTACGCTCTCGTTGGCTGGCCCTCACTACATATTCGTCGCCAAACCCACTGGCTCCAGGTCATCTATAAATCACTGCTAGGCAGTGATTATCTTAGCTCATTGGTCACCATAGCAACACCCACCCGTAGTATGCGCTCCAGCAGGTATATCTCACTGGTCATCCCCAAAGCCAACACCTCCTTTGGCCGCCATTCCTTCCAGTTCTCTGCTGCTAATGACTGGAACGAACTGCAAAAATCTCTGAAGCTGGAGACTCTTATCTCCCTCACTCACTTTAAGCATCAGTTGTCAGAGCAGCTTACCAATCACTGCACCTGTACACAGCCCATCTGTAATTAGCCCACCCAACTACCTCATCCCCATATTGTTAATTATTTTGCTCATTTGCACCCCAGTATCTCTATTTGCACATCTTCTTCTGCACATCTATCAATCCAGTGTTAATACTAAATTGTAATTATTTTGCACTATGGCCTATGTATTGCCTTACCTCCATAACTTACTACATTTGCACACACTGTATATAGATTTTCTATTGTGTTATTGACTGTATGTTTTGTTTTATCCCATGTGTAACCCTGTGTTGTTGTTTTTATCGCACTGTTTTGCTTTATCTTGGCCAGGTCGCAGTTGTAAATGAGAACTTGTTACCAACTGGCTTACCTGGTTAAAATAATAAAAAATAATAAATAAAATATGTAATGTATATAGCCTACATTTAATTGCATTGTCACCAGCACTCTGTATTACACCAGTTGCCCAGCACAAGAGACCAGGTTTAAATTCTTAGACTCCAATAATTCCAATAACATATATTTTTGTATGTTATTAAAAGTGTATTATGTTAACACAATAGCTTTCAACATACCAGTATTTGTGTAATTTTTCAAAAGAAATGCTGGTATAAACAATAAAATATTACAATTAAAATTACATCAAATTATCAATGTATTTTTTCCAAGGTGGTTGCAATGCTGTGCAACACAGTTGTACTGCAGTAGAGTGAGAAAAAAAAAATCGATATTTCCAAAGTTGAGTGTCTTTCCAGGGGGAGTTTTATTTTGGAGAAAAAAATACTGCCAGCATAATTTCCTGCTGCTAGGAGAACGGTAATCCATTTTCCATATGCTCTATGATCCGTGTGTGTAAAATGCCTCCACGCGAGGGCGCGGAAAGACTAGTTTGTTTGTTGATTCTCAGACCGGACATTGGCGAGATTTTATTTATCTATTTGTGGCCTACAATAAAAGCTATTAATTACATTTCCCCAAGCACCCATACCAAATTGGAATTGAAAAGTCTGGCAATATAATATAATACAAGTTCAAAGTAGACATTATTCTTTGACCAATAAAATACAATTGATTGAGATTCAGTCACTATCGAGTAAGATTAACATAAGCAATATAATATGGATTTGTTAAGTGAATTCATAGCACATTCAGCAGTCGCATTACTGTAATATCTATAGGCTATCCTATAACTTTATGAAACCTGAATAACATTTAAAAAATAGTGTGGAAATCAATAGGAAATCAATTGAATGAAATACTCATTCACTATCATTTCCATGTATCATTAGGTATGAATAATTGTGAGTAATTGCTGTTTATTTCCTATAGCCTAATTAATATTCGCTTGACTGAGATGACTCATTATGACCAAAGTTGGTATTGAGTCATCATCACAAACATTTCCACTGGTCAGTCCATTCTAATCAATCGATAAGCATAATGTTTCAATGGGTCGACGAGACCAGTGGGTGAGCGAATAGCTTAGGTTGTCACGCTCACGCCTACTATAAAAAGTGTCCTCGCTGCAGACAGGTTCATTCACAACCTCAGAGTTCTGTACCTCAAGCTGGAAAGAAAAACAGAGGTGCGCTATCGGTCAAAGGCATTGGAATGAACAGAAGCATATCGGCGCTTTTATTTCTGTCTCTAGGCATAATATTTGTCTGCGAAGGAGGTAAAATGATGATGGGAGAGTAATTATGAAGCTTTGGTGCAGTCTAAATGTGTTTTTTTTTCTAATATCGTATTTGCAATGTGTTAACAAAATGTGTCTAAACATTTTATTCTCTTTTATTTTTTATTTGAGTTAATCTAATTACTTTTCAATCAGCTATCGAACATTATGAACGTTTTCTTTTAGGGCTATATAAAAATATATATATTTTGGAATTGATAGCCTATGCTATATTTTGATATATAGTCTACCTATGTGGATTATTTGTTATGTAGACCTACATGTATATCAAAATGTTCAGATAATTACATGTTTATGTGATCATCATTTATTACACTCAGTCGAACTTAACCAAAAATGTTTCTATGCAGGCAACCCTTGCTGCTCACAGCCATGCCAGAACCGTGGCGTGTGTACGGCCATGGGCCCGGACGACTATGAGTGCGACTGCACACGCACTGGATTCTATGGCCACAACTGCACACAACGTAAGTTCAATGCTGTATAAACAAATCAACATAAAAAAAAAATCTCGCTAGACACCTTATTAATATGCTTTTATTTTGATTTAACAGCTGAATTCTTCACGTGGATTAAAGTGTCTCTGAAGCCAACCCCCAACACAGTGCATTACCTCCTCACCCACTACAAGGGGCTCTGGAATATCATCAACAGTATTTCATTCCTCAGGGATGCTATCATGAGATATGTTCTGACATGTGAGTTGAGTTCAATAGCATCATACAGTAGTCTTGATGAGCTTTTCTCTCTTGCCATTTGATCATGTCAAAACTAGTGATGTGAAGTTTTGCTTAGTCAAAACTAGGCCATTTAATATGTAGGGCTGCAAATGCAATAATATACAAAGTCATCACAGTTTATTTTGAATTAATGTTAATTAATTGTGTTCTCTCTGTTTCCAGCTCGCTCTCATCTGATCGACAGCCCCCCGACTTTCAATGCAGACTATGATTATAAAAGCTGGGAGGCCTATTCCAACCTTTCCTACTACACACGCACCCTCCCTCCTCTGCCCAAGGATTGCCCAACTCCTATGGGAGTCGTAGGTAAGTAAGCTCTCTCTCTCTCTCTCTCTCTCTCTCTCTCTCTCTCTCTCTCTCTCTCTCTCTCTCTCTCTCTCTCTCTCTCTCTCTCTCTCTCTCTCTCTCTCTCTCTCTCTCTCTCTCTCTCTCTCTCTCTCCAAACCTGTTCTCTCAGATTTCTGAACGATGCCTCACTTCCATAGCTCCATTACATCATGCACATGCCTGACAGTCCCTGTAGAGTAGAGCTGGCTGCTTGCCTGAGGTTTACTGTGAGGGAAAATCACAGTACAAATTCATACTCACTGAGCCACACCGAAGTTCGTGTGGCATTCCCATGCTTGCTTTTGGTTTGGTGGACATAGGATCAGGTTATTCTATGGTATTGGCTATATATTTATTTTAATGATGAAAACAAGCACCATCTCATGTATATATTATAAAACTACAACATTTAAAAAAGCAAACCTCTAAATTAAACCAATCTCTCTGCTTTCCTCCGTGCAGGTAAGAAGGAGCTGCCTGACGCTAAGATGCTGGCAAAGAAGCTCCTGATCAGGAGGAAGTTTATCCCCGACCCTCAGGGCTCCAGTCTGATGTTTGCCTTCTTTGCCCAACACTTCACCCACCAGTTCTTCAAATCCGACCAGAAGATGGGGCCGGCCTTCACTAAAGCCAAGAGCCACGGGGTGAGTACCAACACTGGACAGCACCAGCACAACAACAGCACACAACAGACCAGCACTGAACAATACAACATGGTTTCACCCAGGGATCAAATTACAGAGGGGCTAGGGGGGTCTTAGCAACCCTGGGTTCACCTTAGAGATCGAGTTAACTGAAAGAAGACAGCTCTTATGTATGTAGGTCTACATATGCAGAATCTTAAGCTGATCACCCTGTTGCAGGAGAGCTTTCCTGCAATGTAGGACATTTAAACCTTTGAGGTTTAAAAAGGCTTCTGAAATTTGTAATTTTCATTTAGAAAATTCAGACTTTATTTTCCCTTACTAAAAATGTATCAACCCCTACAAAAATGTCCATTAATTATAATCCACATAATAATTCACATTTCCTGTTGCTGCAGGATTATTTTCATGCTGTAGCAAACTGGCTCAAATTAAGATCCTACATCTGTATGTGACTAATTTCAAAGCTTGATTTCCAGGTGGACCTTGGTCACATTTACGGTGATAACCTTGAGAGGCAACACAAACTGCGACTCTTCACGGATGGCAAGCTGAAGTTTCAGGTACTGGACAGATCTTGTCAACTATAAATGACCTTGAACATCACTGAACAGATTCTGTTTGTCATAGGTCCAGCTGAATATCTCTTCTCTCACCTTTGCTCTCTATAGGTGTTGGAGGGAGAGGTGTACCCACCTACGGTGAAGGAGGTAGGGGTGGATATGCACTACCCTCCCCAAGTCCCTGAGTCTCACCGCTTTGCTGTGGGCCACGAGGCGTTCGGCCTGGTGCCTGGTCTTATGATGTATGCTACCATTTGGCTGAGAGAACACAACCGCGTCTGTGATGTCCTGAAGGAGGTCCATCCGGACTGGGATGATGATAGGCTCTTCCAGACATCTCGCCTCATTCTCATTGGTAAGCAGTCTAAGCGAGCAACATGTGAAGAAGGATGTATAGGACTTGCTGCTTATTATCATAAGGAAGCCATGTGGTCAGATCCTGCAGATCTTACATAGTATCTGGATTGACATTGTCTATTGTAGCTTGTGCCCATCAAATATTGAGTGTATTTGCAAACAGCTGTACTTTGCTTCTAAAATAGAGACATCCAGATCCAATATTCTATAATATTGTATGCAGACCCAATATTCTATAATATTCTATCCAGACCCAAAATTCTATTGTATTGCGAGCTAATGAACCAAAGTTTGAACCCATATTTACAGTAGAGCTCATTGTAATGTACATTTTAGTCATTTAGCAGACGCTCTTATCCAGAGCGACTTACATTTAGTGAGTGCATACATTTTTTCATACTGGCCCCCCCGTGGGAATCGAACCCACAACCCTGGCGTTGCAAGCGCCATGCTCTACCAACTGAGCTACAGAGGAGGCTATGGGTCTGACCACAGGAAGTGATCTTCTCCTTTTACATGAAGTTCTTGATAGTAAAGTGAGCAAGGCACTTAACCCTAATTGCTCCTTTAAGTCGCTCTGGATAAGAGCGTCTGCTAAATGACTAAAATGTACATGTAAAATGTGTTAATGTCAGTTACCAAAAGCTGTCGATCGGTCAGTCTGTTAATAAGCCTAATGTGTCAGCAATGTAATGGTGCCATGTAAATTGGGGCTCAAAACAACACTTGAGAGTTGATAACACTCTGTGATATTATGTCAAAATTAACTTTATGGAGGTTTTTAATAACTTCCCTCTCTTGTAAAAGGGATTTTGACCATGTGGGACAACCTGAAGTAAAGAGTAGAGACATAAATAAATCATATAAAGAAACAACAAAGACTCGAACTAATGGCCCCTCCCCTTACTCCTTCCTGTAGGTGAGACCATCAAGATAGTGATCGAGGACTACGTGCAACACCTGAGCGGCTACCACTTCAAACTGAAGTTCGACCCGGAGCTTCTCTTCAAAGAGCGTTTCCAGTATCAGAACCGCATCGCGTCAGAGTTCAACACCCTGTACCACTGGCACCCCCTGATGCCCGACGCCTTCCACATCCAGGAGCAGGTCTACTCCTACCCACAGTTTGTCTTCAACACCTCTGTGGTCACCACGCATGGAATCACCAACCTGGTGGAGTCCTTCACCAAGCAGATCGCTGGACGGGTAAGAGGCTCTCTCTGTGTGGGATTTAGGTTGTACACTGTGGGCTCTGGGTAGCTGCTTAAGGTGTGGTTCAGAATTAGGAATGTAAATGGGGCCTGGTGAACCAAGGTTGAAATATGGGTGATTGATAATGGTAATGTTGCATGTTATTATGTGGATTTCAGGCAGACTTGATCCAACTATTTTACTTTAGTGCTTACCCTGAGGGAATGTCAGTCATTCAAAATAAAGAGAAACTCATTGTTGTTTAAGGCTGGTCGACTTACATCTTATCCCTCGTCCCTCCTTAGGTTGCTGGAGGTCGTAATGTCCCCCCTGCAGTGCTGATGGTGGCTCTGAAGTCCATAGAGAACAGCAGACAGATGCGCTACCAGTCCCTTAACGCCTACAGGAAACGCTTCTCCATGAAGCCATACACCTCCTTCGAAGACCTTACAGGTGAGAACCACCATTAGCATCACAGCTATTACATAAACACTTATCATCCTAAGCATTGGGATTGAGTTAGATTGTAATATAGTGATGATTTAGTGTAATTCACTTTTAAGAGTAGAATGAACAGAGTGTGTGACATCCTGTGGTATACTGCTTTCAATTAAGCCCTGTAAAGGGATGGATGGAAGGTTATTGAAATAGTAATACAACTAGCCTGGGCAGATGGAGCCTGCTGCTGTAAGTTATATTGCAGAAATACTGAGTTCCTTTTCGGGCCTACAGCAAAGACAAACAGATCTGCACTTTAGTTACAGATAGTGTAAGCAGTTAGTGATGGCAGAGAGCCGGGTGTAAACAAGCAGAGGAGCATCTGGGAGGTCGACAGGCTCTGCACTGCCTCACACTGGCCTGCTGCATTCCTCTCAGAAAGAATAAGCTTTTCTTTAATAACAGTGTGAGAATAAACAGGACGTGTGTGTGTGTGAAAAAGAGCCAGAGACAGAGAGAGTAAGAGTGAGAGAGAGAGATGTTGAATGAGTTTGGAGGACTTTCCATGTGTATTGTATTGCATCAAGTATGTCAAGCTTAATTTCTAAATGGTAATGAAACAGCTCTCAAACTTGTATCGTTTTCACTAACACTTGTTCTGTAGACAAAACACAGACAGCAAGACATGAGGTCAGATGTAGATACATTACATCAGTGTGTCATCCTAATAATGTCCCCATCAGCTTAGTCAGCGACTGAGATAAGCCAGGTTGAGTAGAGTACCTAACATAAATCCCTTTCTCCCAGAAGCCAGACTGAGCCATGTAACATTTCCCTCTCTGTCTGTGTTTCTCAGGGGAAAAGGAGATGTCTGCGGAGCTGGAGGAGATGTATGGGCATGTGGATGCTGTGGAGCTCTACCCAGGCCTGCTGGTGGAGAAGCCTAGAACCAATGCCATCTTTGGGGAGACCATGGTGGAGATGGGCGCCCCCTACTCCCTGAAAGGCCTGATGGGAAACCCCATTTGTTCGCCAGAGTACTGGAAGCCCAGCACCTTCGGCGGGAGCATCGGCTTTAACATCATCAACACAGCGTCCCTACAGAGGCTGGTGTGCAGCAACATCAAGGGCCCCTGCCCTTTGGCATCCTTTCATGTGCCCGACGTAAAAGACAATGGAGCCAATGCCATTAATTCCAGTACGGCACATTCGGGGAGTAACGATGTCAACCCCACAGTACTTCTAAAAGAAAGGACCACTGAGCTCTGATAAGACATCAGCTGAAATAGTTTCTGGAATTCACCATTTAAATGTATAAACATTTCATGTATTTATTTATGTTAATATTTATTTAATTTATTACATTCTGGAAGCGTTATTGAGAAATGTTGTTGAGAATTTGTTTTGTACTGCCTCATTGTTTTGACATGACTTTTGTACGTTGAAATGTTTATGCTAAGAGCTAATTTAATGTATTATGTTATTTTAATGACCTCAGAAATAGCACTAGCAATATTGTTTATGTATGTCATTTTACTTTGTTCAACAACTGATACTTGAATTTAACACATTTAGTTGACAACCTGACTCTGACATTCCGTCTTAACTGCATGTTACAATGTTACATTCCACCTAACGTACAGCTGCTTCTCCACTCACTGTGCAAGGGAAAAGATAGCTAGGTATGTCAAGTACGTAAAGCTAATAGCTACAAGTCATTGTACTGTGATACTGTAACCCTTAAAGTATTTTCTTAGTGTTTTTTTTTATTCTTGAGCTGACTCCTTATTGTTCAAATAAAACACTGTCTATAATGAAATACATGACTCCATCATCTTTTCACATTTGCTAAATGACACTGCAGCAGAGGTTACTATTCAGTCCTCTTACTGCATCACTGTGATATCCTCATTCTCAACTCATGTCTTTTTGTTTAAGAGGGCACTTTGTGTAAAGATAAAAATGTACAGTGCCTTGCAAACGTATTCATCCCCCTTGGCGTTTTTTTCCTATTTTGTTGCAATACAACCTGTAATTTAAATTGATTTTTATTTGGATTTCATGTAATGGTCATACACAAAATAGTCAAAATTGGTGAAGTGAAATGAAAATAATTACTTGTTTCAAAGAATTCAAAAAAATAAATAATGGAAAAGTGGTGCGTGCATATTTATTCAACGCCTTTGCTATGAAGCCCCTAAATAAGATCTGGTGCAACCAATTACCTTCAGAAGTCACATAATTAGATCAATAAAGTCCACCTGCGTGCAATCTAAGTGTCACATGATCTCAAAATATACACACCTGTTCTGAAAGGCCCCAGAGTCTGCAACACCACTAAGCAAGGGGCACCACCAAGCAAGCGGCACCATGAAGACCAAGGAGCTCTCCAAACAGGTCAGGGACAAAGTTGTGGAGAAGTACAGATCAGGGTTGGGTTATGAAAAATTATCAAAAACGTTGAACATCGCACGGAGCATCATTAAATCCATTATTAGAAAATGGAAAGAATATGGCACCACAACAAACATGCCAAGAGAGGGTCGCCCACCAAAACTCACGGACCAGGCAAGGAGGGCATTAATCAGAGAGGCAACAAAGACACCAAAGAGTACCCTGAAGGAGCTGCAAAGCTCCACAGCGGAGAATGGAGTATCTGTCCATAGGACCACTTTAAGCCGTACACTCCACAGAGCTGGGCTTTACGGAAGAGTGGCCAGAAAAAAGCCATAGTTTTAAGAAAAAAATAAGCAAACATGTTTGGTTTTCGCCAAAAGGCATGTGGGAGACTCCCCAAACATATGGAAGAAGGTACTATGGTCAGATGAGACTAAAATTGAGCTTTTTGGCCATCAAAGAAAACGCTATGTCTGGCGCAAACCCAATATCTCTCATCACCACGAGAACACCATCCCCACAGTGAAGCATGGTGGTGGCAGCATCATGTTGTGGGGATGTTTTTCATCGGCAGGGACTGGGAAACTGGTCAGAATTGAAGGAATGATGGATGGTGCTAAATACAGGGAAATTCTTGAGGGAAACCTGTTTCAGTCTTCCAGAGATTTGAGACTGGGATGGAGGTTCACCTTCCAGCAGGACAATGACCCTAAGCATACTGCTAAAGCAACACTTGAGTGGTTTTAGTGGAAACGTTTAAAGGTCTTGGAATGGCCTAGTCAAAACACAGACCGCAATCCAATTGAGAATCTGTGGTATGACTTAAAGATTGCTGTACACCAGCGGAATCCATCCAACTTGAAGGAGCTGGTGCAGTTTTGCCTTGAAGAATGGGCAAGAATGGCGGGGGGGGGGGGGGGGGGGCGTTGAATAGTTATGCACTCTCATCTTCAAAGTGGTGGGCATGTTGTGTAAATCAAATGATATAAACCCCCCAAAAATCCATTTTAATTCCAGGTTGAAAGGCAACAAAATAGGAAAAATGACAAGCGGAGAGAATAGAACTTTCGTAAGCCACTGTAGTTGAAGATGCTCTTGTCTCAGTGCTGCCAAACCTCCCTCTTCCTCTCCCTCGCTCTCCCCTTTTTTGTCCTCCATATATGCTACAGGAACTCCAAAAATCACACACACAGACACACACATATTTACAGTATAAGAAAAGTGCCTAAAAAAAACAAGGTGACATGCCCAAATGACTATCGCTCCATCCATCGCACTCACCCTGGTCATCATGAAGTGCTCAAGAGGCTTTTCATGGCCCAGATCAAGGCCAGCATGCCAGGCACACTGGACCCACTCCAATTTGCCTACCGCTCCAACAGATCCACGGAAGAGGAACACCTATGTGAGAAGTTTATAGGCTACAGCATTCAACCCTATTGTTCTCTCCAAGCTCGAGACCAAGCTCAGAGACCTGGGTCTGGACACCACCCTCTACAAATGGATCCTGGATATCTTGACGGGCAAACTACAGGCTGTGAGGATTGTCAACAAAACCTCCTCCACACTGACTCTCAACACAGGGGCCCCCCAGGGGTGTGTCCTCAGCCCTCTGCTGTATTCCCTGTCCACCCACGACTGTGTGGCTTTACACGACGCCAACTGCATCATCTAATTTGCTGACAACACCACGGTTGTAGGCCTGATAACCAACAGCGACGAGTCAGTCTAAAGGGAGGAGGTAAGTGAACTGGAGTAGTGGTGCCAGGACAACAACCTCTCACTCAACGTCAACAAAACAAAGGAGTTGATTGTTGACTTCAGGAAACAGCAGAGGGTGCACCCCCCTATACACATTGACGGGATTGCAGTGGAGAAGGTGGAACGTTCCTTGGCATACACATCACTGACAAACTGAAATGGTCCACCCACGCAGACTGTGTGGTGGAGAAGGTGCAACAGGAGGCTGAAGAAATGTGGCTTTACACCTAAAACCCTCACAAACGTTTACAAATGCACAATTGAGAGCATCCTGTCGGGCTGTATCACCGCCTGGTATGGCAACTGCACCACCCGCAACTGGAGTGCTCTCCAGAAGGTGGTGCAGTCTGCCGAACGCATTACCGGGGGCAAACTACCCGCCCTCCAGGACACCTACAGCACCTGATGTCACAGGAAGGACATCAACCACCCGAGCCACTGCCTGTTCACCCCGCTATCATCCAGAAGGCGAGGTCAGTACAGGTGCATCAAAGCTGGGACCGAGAGACTGAAAAACAGCTTCTATCTCAAGGCCATTAGACTTAAATAGCCATCACTAGCACATTAGAGGGTGCTGCTGCCAATAGAAATCATTGGCCAATTTAAGAAATGGAATACTAGTCACTTTAAAAATGTTTACATATCTTGCATTACTCATCTAATATGTATATACTCTATTCTATAATATTCTACCGTATCTTAGTGGTCCTCTGTAGCTCAGCTGGTAGAGCACGGCGCTTGTAACGCCAAGGTAGTGGGTTCGATCCCCGGGACCACCCATACACAAAAATGTATGCACGCATGACTGTAAGGCGCTTTGGATAAAAGCGTCTGCTAAATGGCATATTATTATTATTATTATTATAGTCCATGCCGCTCTGTCATTACTCGTCCATATATGTATATATTCTTCATTCCATTCCTTACTTAGATTTGTGTGTATTGGGTATACAGTGGGGGAAAAAAGTATTTAGTCAGCCACCAATTGTGCAAGTTCTCCCACTTAAAAAGATGAGAGAGGCCTGTAAATTTCATCATAGGTACACGTCAACTATGACAGACAAATTGAGAATTTTTTTTCCAGAAAATCACATTGTAGGATTTTTAATGAATTTATTTGCAAATTATGGTGGAAAATAAGTATTTGGTCACCTACAAACAAGCAAGATTTCTGGCTCTCACAGACCTGTAACTTCTTCTTTAAGAGGCTCCTCTGTCCTCCACTCGTTACCTGTATTAATGGCACCTGTTTGAACTTGTTATCAGTATAAAAGACACCTGTCCACAACCTCAAACAGTCACACTCCAAACTCCACTATGGCCAAGACCAAAGAGCTGTCAAAGGACCCCAGAAACAAAATTGTAGACCTGCACCAGGCTGGGAAGACTGAATCTGCAATAGGTAAGCAGCTTGGTTTGAAGAAATCAACTGTGGGAGCAATTATTAGGAAATGGAAGACATACAAGACCACTGATAATCTCCCTCGATTTGGGGCTCCATGCAAGATCTCATCCCGTGGGGTCAAAATGATCACAAGAACGGTGAGCAAAAATCCCAGAACCACACGGGGGGACCTAGTGAATGACCTACAGAGAGCTGGGACCAAAGTAACAAAGCCTACCATCAGTAACACACTACGCCGCCAGGGACTCAAATCCTGCAGTGCCAGACGTGTCCCCCTGCTTAAGCCAGTACATGTCCAGGCCCGTCTGAAGTTTGCTAGAGTGCATTTGGATGATCCAGAAGAGGATTGGGAGAATGTCATATGGTCAGATGAAACCAAAATATAACTTTTTGGTAAAAACTCAACTCGTCGTGTTTGGAGGACAAAGAATGCTGAGTTGCATCCAAAGAACACCATACCTACTGTGAAGCATGGGGGTGGAAACATCATGCTTTGGGGCTGTTTTTCTGCAAAGGGACCAGGACGACTGATCCGTGTAAAGGAAAGAATGAATGGGGCCATGTATCGTGAGATTTTGAGTGAAAACCTCCTTCCATCAGCAAGGGCATTGAAGATGAAACGTGGCTGGGTCTTTCAGCATGACAATGATCCCAAACACACCGCCCGGGCAACGAGGTCCTGGAGTGGCCTAGCCAGTCTCCAGATCTCAACCCCATAGAAAATCTTTGGAGGGAGTTGAAAGTCTGTGTTGCCCAGTGACAGCCCCAAAACATCACTGCTCTATAGGAGATCTGCATGGAGGAATGGGCCAAAATACCAGCAACAGTGTGTGAAAACCTTGTGAAGACTTACAGAAAACGTTTGACCTGTGTCATTGCCAACAAAGGGTATATAACAAAGTATTGAGAAACTTTTGTTATTGACC